GTTGTTATTGAAGCCACTGGGCTGATTGTCATTGAAGCCACTGGGCTGATTGTCATTGAAGCCACTGGGCTGATTGTCATTGAAGCCACTGGGCTGGTTGTTACTGAATTCACTTGGCTAGTTGTTAATGAAGACACATTTGTCTTATGTGTCTTCATATACTCTTGTCCTAGAATTGCTGGACCATTAATATTTTCTAAGATTCATACACTTTATATTAAGTCTCTCAAACAAGTGAACTTATAAATTAAAATATACATCTTATTTTTATAAAAATCTTTAATGTATTACATGTATTACATTTGTGATTAATCCTCTTTAAAATTCAGGCCTGTATTTCATTTTACCCAGTATTGTCCAGTATTACCCGGTAAAACCAGTAAAACCGGGGTTTTCCCAGTATTTCCCACTGGGCTGGGCCAATACTCATAAAACCCGGGTTTTTGCCAACCCTGCATTCTAACCATGTCAGATTTGCTTCTACGCCTTTAATTTTGAGATATAAACCAAAGACTTTGAAATTTAGTAAAAATTGTCAGTTCAGGGGCCATGACTCCAACATGGATTGTCTGATTTTTAGATATCAGACAAATTCTGCATTTTGCAAATTGTTGCGGATGTTGTCAGTTTGACTGCTTGGCTCACAGTGACGTTAACACTTTAAAAATAAAATGCTCTGCTGGGCGCAGCTTGATAGGACCGTAGAGGTCGAACCCTGAACAGTTGGGGCAAGTATGGACACAATATTCAAGCTTGATACACACTGAATTTGGATTGTGATTAAATATTTGACACAGCATAGGTTTCTGACACAGAATGAATGTGGTCTAAGAACTTATAAATTATTAATTGACCTATTCAAACCATATCATTATTATTTACTTTTACATATAAATCAGAAATAACCAATTTAAAATGAAAAATTTTAAAGAAAAAAAAAGGAAAAAAAATCCCTCCCCTCAAATTTTTTGAACCCCCTTATGATTCATCACCCCCAAACTCAATCTAAGCCTTCCCTTTATGGTCTGGTACCTTGCAGTACAATTTCAGAGAGATCCATACACTTGAACACAAGTTATTGTCTGGAAACTAGAAAAATGCTTGGTTTTTTGCCCCTTTTTGGCCCCAAATTCCTAAACGTTTAGGACAATTACCCCCAAACTCAAACCCAGCTTTCCCTTTGTGATATTGAACCTTGTAGTACAATTTAAAAAAGATCCATACACTTACACACAAGTTATTGTCCTGAAACTAGAAAAATGCTTGTTTTTTGCCCCTTTTTTGCCCCTAATTCCAAATATTTTGAGGCAATTACCCCCAAAATCAATCCCAGCCTTCCCTTTGTTGTATGGTACCTTGTAGTACAATTTCAGAGAGATCTATACACTTGAACACAAGTTATTGTCATGAAACTAGAAAAATGCTTGTTTTTTCCCCCTTTTTTGACCCCTTATTCCCTTAAATTTTGTGTAATTACCCCCAAAATCAAACCCAGCTTTCCCTTTGTGATATGGAACACTATAGTACAATTTCATAAAGATCCATACACTTAAACACACATTATTGTCTGGAAACTAGAAAAAAGCTTATTTTTGGCCCCTTTTTGGCCCCTTATTCCTAAACGTTTTGGGCAATTACCCCCAAACTCAATTCCAGCCTTCCCTTTGTGATATGGAACCTTGTAGTACTATTTCAGAAAGATCCATACACTTACACACATGTTATTGTCATGAAACTAGAAAAATGCTTGTTTTTTTGCCCCTTTTTTGGCCCCTAATTCCTAAAATTTTGAGGCAATTACCCCCAAAATCAATCCCAGCATTCCCTTTGTGGTATGGTACCTTGCAGTACAATTTCAGAGAGATCCATACACTTGAACACAAGTTATTGTCTGGAAACTAGAAAAATGCTTATGTTTGGCCCCTTTTTTGCCCCTTATCCCTAAACGTTTTGGGCAATTACCCCAAAACTCAATTCAAGCTTTTCCTTTGAGATATGGAACCTTGTAGTACAATTTCAGAAAGATCTATACACTTACATACAAGTTATTGTCATGAAACTAGAAAAATGCTTGTTTTTTCCCCTTTTTTTGCCCCTAATTCCAAAAATTTTTGGGCAATTACCCCCAAAATCAATCCCAGCATTCCCTTTGTGATATGGAACACTGTGGTACAATGTCAGAGAGATCCATAAACTTACACACAAGTTATGTCTGGAAGTTACAAAAATGCTTATTTTTGGCCCCTAATTCCTTAACTGTTGGTACCATAACCCCCAAAATCAATCCCAACCTTCCTTTTGTGGTATTGAACCTTATGGTAAAATTTCATAAAGATCCATTCCTTTAAACTAAAGTTAGAGTGCGAAAACCAATGTGTCTTCGGACGACGACAACGCCAACGTCATACCAATATACGACCACAAAATTTTTTTGCGGTCGTATAACAACATATCTAAATTAGGAATTTTGATAAGTTATAATTTCATAATAGATATGAGGTTATCGAATGACAATTAAATAATGCAATTAGCACTTAAATAATTAAAAAAAGAATGTAACAAAAATCTGTTGCTTGGGTTTTAGGCTGTGTAAGTGCTAATTGGAATGACCATGATGACTAAGGATTAATTATTCTTTACCGTAAGAAAAACTTAAGAACTGTGATGTTATCTATAATTTAAGTGTTTTCTTGAGGCCATAACTTTGTGCATGCATATTTTTATGGTTCTACAGTGATCCCAAGTCCTAGAGCTTTCATTTGATAACAAAATTACCCAAATGTTTTACTTTTTGATGACATTTTCACTTTTAAAGTCTGCACCAATATATTTTCAGACTTCTAGTCTGAAGACCAATATTCCAACATTTTTCTTATTTGGCTGATAAAAGTTTTGCAAAAACTTACTACTCTGAATAAAATTTTACTAGTCTGGGGGATCTGATTACTGGCTAATGGTGCAGACTGCTTATGAGTCACATAGACAGACACCAGAGGGACACAGTGATTCCTACATAACCCACAAAAACATTGCATAAGATTTTAACATAGTATTTAAAAACACTGTTGTAAGTTCATTATGTTTTAAAAGATAAATATAACATTAATTATTATTTTTTTCACTATACTGTAAGATAATATAACAGCTGTTTTATACAGTCAGTGGTTTTACTTGTACAAGTCATTTTTATTTACTTGAAGATGTAAGTAATGTTTACTTTTATAAGTAAATTTGTAAGATTTTAATTTTATTTTCAAGGTTTGAATTATCTCCCCTTAATATTCTCCAAAAATTTACTTATACATACAAGTAATTTTTTTTACAACCCCATAAATTTCCAAGTTTTGGGAGGTCAAAACATACCTTAACAGAATTTTTCTGGTTTGCTTATTAATTTTCAATTACTTGTATAAGTACAAAAAATCTGAATGTCTAAGGGATATAACTCTACCTCCAAAATAATTTACCTGTACAAGTAAATAAAAAATGGAAAATGTGTCCCCATGGACACAGATGATGCTCCCACTTGCATATAACATTATAAAGGGACATAACTCAAAAACAATAAAAAGTGACCCTACCCAAATTTGTACTAGATCTGAGTTTTGTGGTAATAAGTATTGTGTATAGGTTTCATAATGTTTGGCTGGGGCAAACTTTAGTTACAGAACAGAAACTCAAAATTTTGCAATTTTTCGATTTATAAAGGGGCATAACTCAATAATGATTAAAGTGACGCCACCAAAAATTTGACTTGACCTGTATTTTGTGGTAATGAGCATTGTGTATAAGTTTCATAACATTTGGTTGAGGCAACTCAAGTTAGAGAACGGAAACTAAAAATTTTGCTTTTTTTTTCCATTTATAAAGGGGCATAACTCGAGAATGGTTAGAGTGACCCCACTAAAATTCAAACTTGATCTGTGTTTTGTCGTAATTAGCATTGTGCATAACATTTGGTAAAGGCAAACTTAAGTTGGAGAACGGAAACTAAATATTTTGTAATTTTTTTCATTTATAAAGGGGCATAACTCTAGAACAGTTAGAGTGACGCTACCAAAATTCAAACTTGATCTGTATTTTGTGGTAATAAGCATTGTGTATAAGTTTCATAACATTTGGTTTCGGCAAACTCAAGTTAGAGAACGGCAACCAATTTTGGGACGTACGGATGTTTTTATGTACGGACAGACGGACATACAGACGGACAAGGGTAAAACCTAATGTCCCTTCCGCCACGGCGTGGGCATAAAAACACTTGTATAAGTATTACCCCTGACTGTTATATCAAGCAAATTTAAATTGCCCCAATTACAAAACCAGATACACATGTAACATGTGTAAAACTGGTTAATGAATTAAAGAATAGAATCTTGTTCCATCTCACATAACCAAAATGTTGGGAAAAATATGACCACATGTGCTGATATGTAAACAACATATATCTTTTCTATATTTTCTGGTTTTACTGTGTCTAAAGGTTTCTGTAATGAATAAAATTGAGAATAGAAAAGGAGGAATAAGTCAAAGAGACAACAACCCGACCAATCAGCAGAAAACAGCCCAAGGCCACCAAGAGTCTTCAACACAGCAAGAAAATCCCTCACCCAGAGGCGTTCTTCAGCTGGTCCCTAAACAAAAATGTATACTGTATAAAAATAAGGAGATGTGGTATGATTGCCAATGAGACAACTATCAGTTCAGCAAAAATGGACATCACACTAAACTCTGAAACATATAAATGAACCAAAATTTAAAAAACTTACAAGACTAACAAAGGCCAGAGGTTCCTGACTTGTGACAGGTATTTAAATGTCTAGGTTAAACATGTTTTGTGAGATCTCAACCCTCCCCTATACCTCTAGCCAATGTAGAATAAACAAACACACAGCAATATGCACAGTAAACATGGTAAAACTCAGTTCAAAAGAAATCAGAGTATATATGTAACACTTTTTTTAAAAATTTTTTTATATTTCATGAAATTTTCGTAAAGCGCTATTAGAATTTAATCTTTTATGACAAAAACAATAGAAAATACATCTGGATGACTTGTTAATATTAGTATATTATTATCTATTCATTGTATATGTATTATGCATGGCATTTGCCCCTGCCAAAAGACTGCCATAAAGATGATGATAAAAGTTTCTCCTTTCGGCAGGATTTTCAAAATTCATGACTTCATTTACAGCTTCCATTGTCTCATTTCTTTCTATAAAATTATCTTTTTCAAAAGCTGCTCTTTCATTTAATTCGTTAATCTGTTTATTCATTTTCCCAGTATGATTTTTTTCCAAATTTGCTGAATCTGCAATTTTTTCAATTTGTTTATTTTTCTTCATCATATTAACTTTTTCTACATGTTCTAACTTAGCTTGTTTAGACATTTCATTTATTTTGTCATTGACAGTCCTCCCGCCCACTTTTTCTAAACTTCTTTTTTCATTAATTTGTTGATTTCCTTTAATTGGTCGCACAACTGTATCATTTTTTCTTCGACCAATTTCCTCAACTGCATTAATCATTTTAATGGTCGTGTCCACTTTTTCAAAATATCCTTTATCCGATAATTCATCATTTTTTAAATTTCCTTTCATTGGCAGCACTTTAGTAAGATTTGTTCCTCCAATTGATTTATCAGTTTTCTCATTTGTATTAATGGTGGTGTCCACTTTTTCAAAATTTTGTTTCTCATACATTTCCTTTATACTTTCATTCACTTCTGTAGAGTATATTGTTTCAAAATCTTCCGCATCATTCATCTGTTCATCCATTTTGACATCATGTTTTTCCCTTTCATGTCTATTTAAACCAGTTTTGTATACAAAACCCTTTCCACATATGTTGCAGTAGTGAAGTTGTCCATCGTGTGTTTTCTTGTGTGACCTTAAATTACTCATATCGCTGTATACTTTACCACATACATTGCACATGAATGGTTTTTCACCGCTATGACAGCGTTCGTGTATATGCAAACGGTCACTTCGACTGAATGCTTTACCGCAAGTTCCACACAAATATGGCTTTACACCAGTATGTATTCTCTCATGATTATGTAAACATCCGGATCGACTAAATGTTTTATCACAATACTTACAAGCAAAAGGACGTTCATTTCGGTGATTCCTTTCATGAATAAGAAATTCACTGTGCTGATTGTACTGTTTACCACACACAGTACACATATAAGCCTTGTCACTGGAGTGGATTTTCTTATGTGCACTTAGATTACCAGACGAGCTAAATGATTTATCACATTCTCCACACTTATAAGGTTTTATCCCTTTGTGTCGGTTCTCATGGATTCTAAGCGATGTACTATTCTTGAAATTTTTCCGACATATACTACAAGAATAAGATTTCTGCCGTGTCAGTTTATCATTCGGCATCTCACTTTCTTCAGTGATATTTTTAGTTGAACCTTTTTCTAATGAATCATCATCTTTATGTTGTTGAATGTGTTTTTGTAACTTGCCAAGTTCCGTGAAGCCTGAATTACATGTTACACAACTGAAAGACTTATTTTTCTCATGCACTTTCTTGTGTCGCTGCACGTTACTTAGCTTACTAAATTCTTTGTTACATATGTCGCAAGCATAACGTTTCTTTCCATTTGTCATTTTCGTATTAAATTTCCGTAGCTTTGTTTTCACTATGTTGAGTACCCCATCAACAAGATCATTTCTTTTACCTGTAAAATATATTTGATATAGATTGATACACTGTTTTCACAGAGAAATGTCTCACCTGTATTTAATTTTGATAGTATCAAGCAAAGATATAAGAGTGCACATGCTGAAATGTCTCGTCTGTTTTATTTATTATTGAATTCATATTGAAAGCCTGTAACATGAAAATTTAACTACAAATAACACATAAACTAAACATTATCAATGATCCATGAAAATGAGATCCCTGTCAGATGAACCATGCCATACACCAAATGTAGTTGACCTACTGCTTATATTTATCTGAGAAAGGGACTATACCATGTAACTTATACCCTGATCATTGATCCATGAAATGAGGTTGAGGTCAGGTGAACCCTACCTTATGGACATGTAGACCTTGCAAGGAACTCATCAACCAAATTTAGTTATAATGTTACTCATAATAAGAGAGTATATTTGCTTAACTATTCATAATTTGTTTTAGGAAGATAGTCCTTAAAATAAATTTTCACTACGAGTATCTCATAAACTTAACATTATCAATTCAACATGTTCAATGATCCATGAAAATGAAAAAGAAACAGACCAAACCATGAAAACTCAATATTGACCAATGAACCATGAAAATGAGGTCAAGGTCAGATGAACCCTGCCAGACAAACATGTACACCTTATAATCATTCCATATACCAAATTTAGTTGACCTTATTGCTTACAGTATCTGATAAACAGATTTAACAAGAAAACTTAATATTGTCCAATAAACCATGAAAATGAGGTCAAGGTTAAATGATACCTGCCAGACAAACATGTTCAACTTACATGAGGTCAAGGACAATGGACATAAAACAGACGAAAACATCGTAACGTATAAGGTATCTGCATACAAGATATCAAGCATCTGGTCTTCTATCTTATATCTTTCTTCCACCGCATCCTAAGTGTCATCCCTATGTCTCACATAATGCCACTTTCGTTGCAGGCGAAACAAAAAAAACAATTATAATTTTTTTTCAAGCAGTCACTGAACCATAAAAATGAGGTCGAGGAAAATGGACATATGACAGACAAAAATTTTGTTACATAAGGTATCTGCATACAAGGTATGAATCATCCAGGTCTTACTAAGCTTCTGAAATATAAAGCTGGATTCAAATAGTTACGCCGTTGCTGTGGCAACTGTTGCCAGATTGTAATACCTATGTCTCCAATTCTGTGACAGACGAGACAGTAAAATCTATATTAAATGAGATGTGAAAAATGCTAATATAATTGTCTTTCAAGTTGTATTGATTTACCACTCATGGTTCGGAACTGGTTCCTCTTAAATTACTCTAATCACAAACTTAACATATAAACTACTGTAAATTCAGAAATTATTGCGAGGTTTTTATTAATGCGAATAATGCGAATAGGCGAGTATCGCAATAATAAGAACTCGCATTTTGATAACTAAAACATAGATCTGTATGTAGATTTTTCTGAAATCGCAATAATTAAAATCGCATTCTCATCCATTTTTGAAAAATCGCAATAATAAATGCACGCAATAATTTCTGATTTTACAGTATACAGAAACTTTAAAATCAATGACCCACTAATATTGGCAGGGCCATGAAATATGTGAAATGAGATTTGTTAATGCTAATAAATACACAACTACTTACAAATTATATAATTAGTGGTTTCCCAAATCATATAAAAATTAATCGAATTATTTACACCTGACTTTCCATCTGAAATCACCACACAAAGTCTTTTCCTTTGTGACTTCATTGTTTCAAGACAAAAATTGTGTAAGGCCAACTTTTACTGCTGTGTATTAACCCAATTGGCATTTCATTAAAGATTCCATAAGCATATTTACCTCAGTTAATTGTTTTTAAATTTATTTACTATTATCTTTAATACATAAAAGTACAATTAGGAGCTGTAACTTTATTGTGCAGATGAACTGTCAACAGGAAAAGAATAAATTTGCAACAAATAGGTTTAAATTATTTTCCTACATTCCCTAGACAGCACACTAATAAAGAGAATTGAAAACTGAACAATACACTAGAAGGAAAAAAGAATCTGCATCTTTCAGTATATGCTAAATATTTCAAACATTAAATTCATATCTACCTTTCAATTTCCATAAATGAACAATGTAAATGATTTCAGCATGTTGGAGGTTGTGCAATTCACATTTTGTAACCTCTTCATGGTCCATTAACAGACACTAGAATGTCATTAGGTGATTTAAGGAACACTAGACCATAGGTCTCTTTGAGCATAGAGATGTTTATTTTCAATTGTTTGTGTTGTCTTGATAAGGTTTCTCTCATTAAAATAATTAAAGTGCTTGTGAGCACTGAAGAGTAGATACTGTCATTTTGCAATTTTGTGAATTGAATAATAAAACTGAATTTATTTAGCTAGTAGCTAGACAATTCATAAATTTGTTTTTGAGTTATCTTCCTTTGTTCATGATTGTATATTTGTAGTTGAACATATTTTTATAACAGATTCACACATCATGCATTATTTACATGTATGTAATTTTTAATAAAACAAAGTGTTCTTGAAAAATATGGAAATCAAAATACACCTCATATTGTTACTTAATAATCTAAGTATAACATATCATCAATAAATTTCATAACATTGACCTGTTGACTGGATAGGATCTAAATAATGATCACTTCACTGCACTATTTTGTTTGAACTATCAAAAACATTGATAAAGCTTGTAAGATATAGATATGAAGTCAGTTCCATCTTTACCCCAAACATGTTTTCCTTGTTAATTAAAGACTACAGAAATGGTCAACACATTATTCCACAAAAAACTGATAACAAACAATTTCGAGGACAAGAACATTTGAGTATCACCTGATATCCCAAAAAGGATTTTCTAACCAAGATTTTCACATATCATTAGTTAAAACTTAAGGTTTGTAAAATATAAACTTACAAGACTTACGACAGTTTATTTTTTTCATTTTTTTTTTTTTATGATGCAGTTTCTTTTTAGGTTGCCCTTATATAGCCTTTTTGTGCTGATGCAGTCGTAATGCAATCTTCAATCAATCAATCTTTCTTTGGCTAGTAAATTTTGTTGGCAATAGCTCAAAGTAGCCCATTGGACCAAATGAGTTAAAAAATAATTCAAAAACTTAATGCAAGAAAGAAAATTATTTCGAGAGGATTTATCAAGTTTTGTAACAGGCAAACTTCATCAAAACTCTCCATTTTAATAGAGACGACAAAGTGATGTGCCCAGGATAAGATGCTGACCTTAATTGAATAATGTTAATAAAATTGAGAATGGAAATGGGGAATGTGTCAAAGAGACAACAACCCGATCACAGAGCAGACAACAGCCGAAGGCCACCAATGGGTCTTCAATGGGTCTAAAACTTCTTCACATATTATGACTGCGTCTTTTAGCTTTAAGAACACTGAAGATTTGAACCATTGCAATGATCCCTAAAGTGATAAATTGTAAATTGTAAATTGTAAGTTGTAAATTGTAAATTGTAAATTGCAAATTATATGTAAATTGTAAATTGCAAAATATATGCAAATTATAAATAGTAAATGTAAATTGCAAATTATATGTAAATTGTAAATTGTAAAGTATTGTGAACATTTTTAAACAAATAATTCATAATCCACCATGCATACAACCTACTTTTGTAGTCTACGTTATGTTCTTCATCTATTTCAGTTGTACTACCAGAATGATTGTCTCTGTAAGAACTCCCATTAGACATGTTAGAATCATTCCCATCAAAATCTGTGGTGTTGATAAACATTACTGGTCCATCAGTATTGCTAGGTGATATTTCATTGTCTGAAGCCACTAAAATCATACGTTTATATATGAAATATATATTCCAATACATATTACTGTAAATTCAGGAATTATTGTGTGCATTTGTTATTGCGATTTTTTAAGAATGGACAAAAATGCGAGATTAATTATTGCGATTTCAGGAATATCTCCATACATTTATATGTATCGGATATCAGAATGCGAGTTCTTATTATTGCGATACCCACCCAATCGCATTATTCACATTAATAAAACACAATTATTTCTTAATTTACAGTAATACATGTAGTGCAAGATCTTTACTGACATTAGTATTATATTGCAAAATGAATTCTATTGCTACTTTAAACTCCTAAGGTTTTCAAAATGACAATTTAAACACTTTTCAATTTCTAAAGCTTGTGACAGAGTAAATCACCATAATCCATTAATTTTAGAAACATAATGTTATAAAAAGAATTTGTACAATATAAAGCTTTCTTTAATCAAATTAATAACATCGAATTGTTTTGTTTTTTCTGGTGCTTTATTCACATTTTTCTGGGGTCGATGTACAGTTGAAGTACTTTTTTGCATCAGGTTCACCTTTTAAAGACAGTTAAAGAAGAGTTTTTTAAACTAGCTTTTTTCTATAGCATCAGGACTTTGCTTGTCATGCTTGTCAATGACAAGTATGCATTGGTAAAGAAATTAATTTTGTGGTTTTAAAAAGTATTGAAAAAATAGTACAAATGTCAAAAATAATTTCTGAAATTATTCTGTGTGTTCTGTAATATGAGCATCAATCTGAATGTTTTATGACTGAATACATGAAGTAACATTTAGATCCCCTTTATATTTTAGCAGTTTCAATATCTATATACTAATTACTAAATATTCTCCTTACTATCTTATTAACTTTACATTTAAATGTTCTGAAGATGGTAGGTATAGAAGCCTCTTATCAAATTCTTAAATGTAGGTCTAGAAGCCTCTGATCAAATTCTAAAATGAGTCCTACCAAAACAGTCAGAAGTAAAGTATACGCAAGCCGATTCAGCTGAAAATCGCTCTGGCTGACAAATTTTTAGAGTGAATATAACTGTCTGTGATTGAAAAATGAAAAATGACATCATGCCTTCTTTTTAAAAGCAGTCCAAGATAATAACAGTTAGTCAATTTCTGATCTAGAGGAGTTTCATCAATAACTGTCCAATCCTGTTATATTATCAACTTACTACAGAAATCCTTGAACTTTTGTAAACATTTAGGATTTGTGTCCAAGAAATTCTGTCCAACAGTTGATGCCTCACATCTAATTGTCTCCCTTTGTTTGTTTACTGACATAATGACAGTTTCTCTCCCCAAGTCCTGCAATCTTTCACACTGAAAAAGATAAATAAACAAATGTTATTAATTTGAAATTAATAATGATGATGATTTGGTATTTACTCTAAACATATTTTATTTGCAAAATATCACAAAAAAGATGAGGCACAAGTTAGTCCAACTTAGATCGTGTTCTACTACATTCAGATTGTACACTTGATTAATCAAGAAACAATTAGGTCTTTTTAATATAATCAAAAACATTTCTAAACATTTCTTCATTTTGCTCATTTGTCAGATTTATACTACCAGATGTTATAATCTCTAGATCCACTACAAGGTCATCTTGTAACCAACTAAGACTATTCCAAAGAATGTGACGTAAATTTGTATATAAAGGACATATAAAGAGGAAATGATTAGAATCTTCACAAGGAAACACACAGCGACAAGCATTGGTGTTTAAATCCAGTGGCAATTATTACAGGAGAACCTGTTAATGAGATATGAATATCTACATTAGTTTGAAGTAGACAGATACACAGAGCTCAATTTTTTGTGTACTAGTTCAGAAGGTCAAAAAGTCAATAAGTATATTGTATCTTTTTTGACGCATTTTTTGCAATATCAACACCAAAGTACTGTAGATAATGTTATAACACAAGTATAAGCTATTGCTACAATTTTAGAAAACCAGAGTCTTAGTGATTGCTTTTTGATGTCTTTGACATGTTTGAGGAAACAGTTAAACATTACCAAGGTTACATTACGGTGGTAGTATCTTTTGTTTAATTTTCAGATAAGAGTAAACAGTACAAAAATGTATATATAAGGACAAAAAGGAGGGGTCTACCAGGCAGTACCAGTATATTTCTCAGAATTTTTTGTCACAACTCTACATTTTCAACTGGGATCAAATTTAAAGGGGCACTAGCTATGAGATATATAAAAAAATATAAAATATGATTTATTTTGTTCAATTATTAATGAAAGTGAAATAGTGAAATAATAAATTGCTTTTAGGTGTAATACCACCATTGATTTTCCCCTATTAGTCTTTGTTAAATTTGCACTTTTCAAAAAATTGTGCAGAATTTATCTTTGTTTCAAATAAAGAAATACTTGGCATAAGTAAAGTTTTATCCTGTCCAGTACTATAGAAAAAATTTCACATAACATTTCATTGCATATAAGAAAATAACCATCACTGGAAGTTAACCAATCAAATTTTCCCCCCTTTTTAACCTGTGTACAAGCTTTAGTAACCATGTAACCTCAAGTTTCCAAAATATTCTATAGAAACCCCAAATAAAAAAATAATGGTGCTTTGAAATACCCAAGATATATGTTTATGACCCAGAAATGTTTTACTGCAATGAAATGTAGGATCAATTACCTACAACTGTCAAATGCAAGGGAATATTTTTTTTCGACCTATTTTCGTATGCAACCGGATGTGAAATACTATGATTTGGTGGTATTACACCTGCAGCCAGTCTGCTTCAATTTTGTCAAAATAAACTAAGAAACATTGATGATGAATTTTTCACTTGCAAGTGAATAATGAGACCCCATTGAATCAGTATTCATGTGAGCCCTTAGCTAGAAATGGATAAAGCATGAATCGTGCGTGTTAAGTTATTTAAAGGAAAAGAATGTAAACATTGAAAGTGAAACAAAGGTAAATCATTTAATTGACTGATTCGATCCACAAAAAAACATTCGTATACAGGTAAAAACGATGATTAACATATATTCTTAATCTTTAAAATGAAATTAAACAGACATAGAAAAATCCAATTGCACGATTTCGATATATCTATTTATATCTATATTTATTTTTATATCGCTTATATGGTCATCGGAGGTCGTCAGAGGTCAGCTCGATAGTTAATTAGATGGCGTCTAGACAAAAATACACACGAAACGAAGCTACATATAATTGAGCCCATGTCCTGTAAATTGTTTATTTTAGACTTTTTATAATTTGGATAAATGTTTTACATTGTTATAAATCAAATATGAGAATTTGAGTCAAATCGGTGAACACGAATTTGACAGCTAGTGCGCCTTTAAGAATAAAGAACTTAAAAAAAATTAGAATTTCTTAATAGTATAATGAGATTAAGAGGTGTAAAAAAATTTGTATACATAACTAAAACCAAAGGAAAAATTCTTTGTTTGATGTTGCCTACCCCTGCACTGTGGGGTTGGGTAAGCAGGTATGGGTTTTATTTTTCGGGGCCAACAACATTAGTTTTATGTTTTAGACAAGAAAACAACGTAAGAGCAGGTTAAAATCTTAAAAAATAAAATAAGATACGATTTGTGTCATAATCTTTATTGGGTAGCTATATATAGGCGGCTTTTTTAATGTGTAGGTAGGCAACATCAAACAATTCAAATTCTATTTTTGGTCTGGTCTAGAATGGTAGGCATATCTTAGACTTATAGTTGCACCTGTTGGGCTCAAGGCAAATAAAACTAGAGGCTCTAAAGAGCCTGTGTCGCTCACCTTGGTCTATGTGCATATTAAACAATGGACACAGATGGATTCATGACAAAATTGTGTTTTGGTGATGGTGATGTGTTTGTAGATCTTACTTTACTGAACATTCTTGCTCCTTACTATTATCTCTATATATAATGAACTTGGCCCAGTAGTTACAGTGGAAAATATTTTGTAAAAATTTACAAAAATTTACAAAATTTATGAAAATTGTAAAAAATTGACTATAAAGGGCAATAACTCCTTAAGGGGTCAATTGACAATTTTGGTCATGTTGACTTATTTGTAGATCTAACTTTGCTGTACATTATTGCTGTTTACAGTTTATCTCTATCTATAATAATATTCAAGATAATAACCAAAAGCTGCAAAATTTTCTTAAAATTACCAATTCAGGGGCAGCAACCCAACAACATATTGCCTGATTGGTCTGAAAATTTCAGGGCAGATAGATCTTGACCTAATGAACAATTTTATACCATCAGATTTGCTCTAAATGCTTTGGTTTCAGAGATATGAGCCAAAAACTGCATTTTATCCTATGTATTATTTTTTGCCATGTCGGCCATCTTGGTTTGTGGGCAGGGTCATCGGACACATTTTTTAAACTAGATACCCTAATGATGATTGTGGACAATTTTGGTTAAATTTGTCTTAGTAGTTTCAGAGGAGAAGATTTTTGTAAAAGATTACAAAAATTTACGAAAAATGGTTAAAAATTGACTATAAAGGGCAATAACTCCTTAAGGGGTCAACTGACCATTTTGGTCAAGTTGACTTATTTGTAGATCATACTTTGCTGAACATTATTGCTGTTTACAGTTTATCTCTATCTATAATAATATTCAAGATAATAACCAAAAACGGCAAAATTTCCTTAAAATTACCAATTCAGGGGCAGCAACCCAACAACGGGTTGTCCGATTCATCTGAAAATTTCAGGGCAGATAGATCTTGACCTGATAAACAATTTTACTCTTGTCAGATTTGCTCTAAATGCTTTGGTTTCAGAGATATAAGCCAAAATCTACATTTTACCCCTATGTTCTATTTTTAGCCATGGCGGCCATCTTGGTTGGTTGGCGGGGTCATCGGACACATTTTTTAAACTAGATACCCCAATGATGATTGTGGCCAAGTTTGGTCAAATTTGGCCCAGTAGTTTCAGAGGAGAAGATTTTTGTAAAAGTTTACGGACGACGGAGGACGGACGCAGGACGAAGGACGACGGACGCAAAGTGATGAGAAAAGCTCACTTGACCTTTCAGGTCAGGTGAGCTAAAAAAAGGTGATAACTGATAAGTCATGTTCAGTATTGAGGAAAAGAGGAAAAAATGGTGGCTACAACAATTTTGTCCTTTTAATTCCTACCATTTTACCAGCAGCTTTCCATATGTCCTCTTCAGTCTCAAAAGACACTAGTTCATTTCCATTGTTACCACTTCCTTTAGTAAGCACTTGTAATTGTTTTCCTTGATGGTTTTCTTTCTTTGAAGCTAACAATGGTGTCACACTGGCTTGTTCAATATTTCTTATTGATTGTTTTGTTTCATCTATAAAATAAAGGGATGACATTATAAGTAAACATCACACTGCACATGTACATGTATTAACCTTCAAGGTTTGTATTTATAGAAGATTAGAGCAATATTTATAAACACACCAGCTGCTTTTAGGGGAAATATCTTGAATCCATGTCAGAGATGTGGAAAAAGAGGCAAAAGATACCATTTGCAAAGGGACATTCCAACTCATAAGTAGAAAAATAAACTGACAACCATGTGACAAAAAGTGGGAAATAAACAGACAGACAACTAACAGTACATAAAACACAACATAGAAAACTATAGACTGAGCAACACAAACCCCTCCAAAAACTGAAATAACTAAATTCTTCATTAGTCCTTGAGTACTATATATCCATGCTATACAAAAATCTATTTGCCCAGAATTTTTGTTGACTTACAAGTTTTCCTACTGGTTGTGCTATTACAGATGTCTTGGGACAAAAATTTGGAACATATTTACTTGTCAGGGGAGATTTTGGGCCAACAACAGGCTGGCAAGGCATTTCTGCATCTCTGCATTTTCAACAATTTCTTTTTTTGTTGTGCTATTTTCAGGGTTGTTGTTTTAAGGAGGGCTGGTGTCTCCTTCTATTCACATAATTTGCAATTCAAACCAGAAAACTAACGGCCTAATTTATAACAAAACAATTTAAAAAAAATATAAAAGACATGAATCAATGACAACCACTGAACTATATATATACACTCTACAGGCTTCTGAATTTGGAGTTGGGACAGGCACATTTTATTAGTCTTTTTTTTTGTTGCTTTTTCGTACATGAATGTTGTGCTATTACACCACTGTCAATGGTTAGGGGAGAATTTGGCAACAAACATGGAGTTCAAGTCAAATCAGCACCTGGTTAAATCAGCATCTGGTCAAATAGGCACCTATTTAAAGTCAATTCAGCATCAAATAATATTTGATATAACATATAACATATATAAAAAATGTATAAATTATCAGTCTTTGTGCTCTAACCACAGGCCCACCAGCCCAGGCTTGTAAAATTGCTGTCGCCTGCAAAAATCATTTCTACTAAAATGTTTGAAAAATTCAGCTTCTGGCCTGTCATGACTGTAGATAAAAAATTTGCTGTGAAGACTGAATTGCAGCTGTCTTTTAATTTTTTATTATTTTTTTAAAATTTTAGGGTTGGATTTTATTTTATTTTATTCACAACCTCCTTTTTTATCAATATACAGATATTGTATGAAGACAGACTATTCTTGTATAATCACTATGTTTCCCTCTAACTGTGTATGTTATTGTGATGGTTGGGTCAGATTCATATAGTGATACTAGAAAAAGGACCAATAAACAAGCTGCGAAAATAAATTATTGTTTTGACCTTATCTTCGAGGTTAGGGAGCTACCATTTGATTTTTATGGGGGGGGCTTAGAGGATGAAATTTGAAAAAAAAGGCAGGACAGAAGCTAGATTTTGAGTATAAAAATCTAAAAAAAAGAAAAGGCAGGACCGAATAAAGTGAAAAATAAAAATGCAGGACCGAGATTACAGCTAAAAAAAAAAATGCACGACACAATTTTTCATCCTAGTCCCCCAATAAAAATCAAATGGTAGCTCCCTTATCTTAAACAGCTACAGTATTACGAGTATCATAAAGATACTCAAATTACTGTCGCAAGAAAATTAACGACATAATTTCGATAACTTGTAGCCTTTCTGCATGAATTTTTGATTCGACAACAGCAAATGTAGACTACTGTCAAAGTTTATTTCCGGTCTTGGGAGTAGTCCTCAATATGATCATGATGACATATCTACTCAGAATGAATCGTGTAAAATTCATGAATTAAAACAAAATATTTATTAAAGATGCTAAAACAAACTAATATATGAATGTTGTGGATATTCGAATATCACATTTTGAAAATAATCGAATTATTCAGAAATAAATAAAATAGTACATAATACGCCCATTTCCAGAATAAAAAATAAACTTCAAAAACTTTCAAAGCGGTTTGTGTTTGTACCGGCCAACAATGCAGCCAACAATGTGGTGGTTGTATGCTGTAAATACTACAGGGACCTTCTTAAGAATGAAATGTTAAATTCATCTACATTCAAGTCCGTCCGCTCCACAGAGAGTCATTTAGTTAACAAACATATCATAAGCACATCACAGCTTAAGGCTTCTTCTGAACTTTTGAAGGTCCCTACTATGTATTGGTTACCTAAACTACACAAAAAAAAAAAACAGTAAATATCTTTTCATCTTGGCCTCTAGTAAGTGTTCTACAACTAATCATTCAGTGCTTTTAACAAGTTCCTTAACTACTATCAAAGAACTAATAAACTTTTGTAATAAAATATACAAAAACAGTGGAATTAACTATTTTTGGAGTGTAAAACATTCTTTGGATGTTTCAGACAAATTACATGCTTTTGATGGTCCTTTTTATTCTGTTGACAGTTTTGACTTTTCTACTCTTTACACTACACTTCCACACAATCTCATCAAACAAAAGTTTTCCTATCTAATTAAATGGTCGTTTGGTAAATCTGAATGAAAATATATTTGCTGCAACTCATTTAAAGCCTTCTTCCCTAATGAGTAAGGTGAATATGCTAGATATACTTACTGGAGGTGTGATGAGAACTTTCTAAATATACTGCCGAAATTTACCCAAAGGAACTTACTTAAAAAAAATCAAACATAAACAGTAAGATGACTGAAGCTGATAATTTTTTCCTTGATAATATTAATGTATGTATCTGCAACAAAGTTTATAGACAGATTGTAGAACTGTATTCCTATGGGCACTAATTGTGCATCTTTAATAGCAGACTTGTTTTTGTACTGTCATGAATCACAGTTTATGACCAAATTCAGTAAAGACCTGTCTAAATTGCATCTAATTGATAAATTCAACAACACTTACCGTTATCTTGATGATATTTTTTATTGGAATAGTCCAGAACTTTCTAAATAAACTGCCGAAATCTACCCAAAGGAACTTACTTTAAAAAAATCAAACATAAACAGTAAGTTGAAATGTCCTTTCCTAGATTTAGATATTTTAGTATTACACGGGAAACTCCACACTAAAATTTACGACGACAAAAGGGAAGATTTTTCATTCCCTAAGTTCATTTTCCTTTTTTGGATGGTGATGTTCCTTTGGTACCATCTTACAGTGTTTATATGTCACAACTCGTTCACTATGCCTGTGGGATGTTGGATGTGTCCTGATTGATATTTTAGTCTTAGATGCATGATTTCTTTTAGTAGTTGGCTTTGAAGTAGCTGTCAGTAACTCTTAGTACTCTCAGATCTCTACTTAGTGTCTATTTGTTATCAGGATGCACAAGTACCGGGCTACGTCCACTCTGTGTTTTTGTTAGATGTATTTCTATTTGTATCCATCTGATGAGTTAAGGTGGTACCTAACACTACAGGGAGATAACTCTGTAAAAATCAGCTAAACGTTTTAATTACGTTGTATTGTTAAGAAAATATTAAGCTTCTCAATGATCAAAATTAGTGTTTGTCAAACTGCTATATAACCAACGAAATTTTTCTGATAAAGTGGTTGGTTCAAATTTTTTGAATTTTTTATATTTTTGTCAAAGGGTCAAAGTAAACATTTTATCAAAATTTTATGAAAATTAAACGAGCCAAATTAATATTAGTCAAGGTGTTGGGTACCACCTTAAGCCTTTTTTAACTGATTTTTTTAGTTTGTTCTTATGTTGTACTGTAACACACAACTGTCCCAGTTGTGAGAGGGTTGGGATCCCCCTAACATGTTTAACCCCGACACATTCTGTATGTATGTGCCTGTCCCAAGTCAGTAGCCTGTAATTCAATGGTTGTCGTTTGTTGCTGTGTTACATATTTGTTTTTCGTTCATTTTTTGTACATAAATTACCGGTAGGCTGTTACTTTTCTCATTTTAATTGTTTTACATTTGTCATTTCGGGGCCTTTTATAGCTGTCTATGTGGTATGGGCTTTGCTCATTGTTAAAGGCCGTACGGTGACCTATAGTTGTTAATTTCTGTGTCATTTGGTCTCTTGTGAAGAGTTGTCTCATTGGCAATCACACCACATCTTCTTTTTTGTATAAACCTAACTATAAACAAATCAGAAATATGCATATAATCTTGCAAAAAGTAAAATAACAAAAATACTGAACTCCGAGGAAAATTCAAAACGGAGAGTCCCTAATCAAATGGCAAAATCAAATGATAAAACACATCAAACGAATGGACAACAACTGTCATATTCCTGACTTGGTACAGGCATTTTCAAATGTAGAAAATGGTGGATTGAACCTGGTTTTATAGTGCGAAACCTCTCACTTGTATGACAGTCGCATCAAATTCCCTTATATTTACAACGATGCGTGAACAAAACAGACATAATACATGTAGGTAAAATAGTCACAATATGGGTACAGCAGTCATCACTGTGTCGCAATCTCAAAACAAACAAATATTTAACAAAAAAGCACAAAAAAAGTAAAATCACAAAATTACTGAACTCCGAGGAAAATTCAAAACGGAAAGTCCCTAATCAAACAGCAAATTCAAATGATAAAACACATCAAACGAATGGACAGCAACATCGTTAAGGCCATTCAACAGGAAATTTACTTACAGGTGCGTATAAATTAATAGTGGGGAGTACGCAACATCTCATGATACAGGAGAAGTGCAATATACTGTGAGATTCCAATCCAGCTCACTATACAAATCCTTGATTCATTACATCGTTAAAAATCATCACATTTTATTAATTAGCAGTTAGAATTATAATCATGATAATAACAAATATCTAATACCTTGAATACACAGTTGAATGAAACCCCCCTCCCCCCCCCCCCCCCCCCCCCCAAAAAAAAAAAAAGAGTTAATAAGTCAATATTTTTGGACAACTCCTTCTTTATTTTAATCTACTTGCTTGGAACTGAAAAAAAAATAATATATTCAACATGGGTGCTGTAATGACTATATT